TTGTGATTTCCGGGATACGTGGATCAAATCCCACTGTGTTGAGGCCCGTGGCTGTGCATAGCCAGAGTCTATTGTCAGGACTGCTTACCAACAATGTTCATGTTATTGCACAGTAGAAGAAATGCATAAGATCTGTTTCCATTGACTTCCTGACTTCTGGGCTTGGTCAAAGGCTATAACAATTTCTTTCTTTCTTTCTCTCTCTCTCTATCTCTCTCTCTCTCTCTCTCTTTCTCTCTCTCCATGAAGATGACATCATGCCAAACACCAAAAAATAAATGTACCTGAGTGACTCCATCCCTAAGGTATAATCACAAAAACAGCTAAAAATGTCATTAATACAGTGTTAATGAACCTCTGAAGAGCAAAAGATGAATTGTTTGAATAGAGGGACACTGAATTAAAATAGAATCCCTAACTGCCAAGGCCCAGAAAGATTTTAAAAGCTAAATAAATAAAATGACTAAGTGACCAGAGGGAGGGAAAGTTGTAAGAAAGAAAGGGGTTTGGAGTGTTTTAGCATCTCTGAATAACTGGCTTTAAATTGTTAACAACCACAAATCGTAAGTATCACTCATAAATGTTGGCCTTTTAATGAATCAGTGAGAACCTTGTTCATGGGCTTCTAGCTTCCAGAACTGAGAGAAAAGAAATGTCTACTGTTGTTTTTTTTTAAAAGATTTCTTGAATATGTTGATAATTTTGACCTGATTTTTAAAGTGTAGGCCCATGCCTTACAAGAAGTTGATTAAACATGAAATCCTCAGGCAGGCAAATATTCTCAATTATGAAACCTCCATTTCTAAGGGGGCATATGCTGTCCCAATAATGAAAATAAATGTGAAAAAAACAGTGTTAATTTTTAATAATTATGAGGTTACAACATGTCTTATTTTCATCTGAGAAAGACTATAGAGTTCTCTAGATCTATAACTCCTGCTCTTTTTTTCAGTCTAATAGCTATGTACAAAAATGACCAAGAAGCTTGACTGAAAAAAATATCAATTCATCATTTTAATATTTCATAACAATGCAAATGGTTTCATTATGTCTACGTATTTGGTTGAAACTATTGCAAAGAAATGATTTTAAAGAGTTCCAAGTAAAATGAGACTAAAGCAGTTGAAGAATTAAGAGCAATTTCAGATAATTATATCACTATCCTCGAATGTCTGGTTAATTCAAAGTAAATATATTTTTAACATTTCCTTAAATATCTGAATAAATACTCCAGATTTTGCTCTACATTAAATTTGGCAATTATACTATTTTGCACTGACTCAATCTTAATCTTTACATTTTTTAAATTATTTTTTATTATCTAACTTGCCTTTAAAAAATGTCAAAGAAAAGGAATTCTGGAAGTTTAGCTTGGATTTCACATGGAAACCTCCCATGACACAGACAAAAAATAAAATGTCTGAGCACAAATGGTCAATGAAAACATGCATTTTCATTATCTTTTCATTCCTGATGAAACTCTTACCAAATAGCAGAAACCCTTGTATAAATTATATTTAAATTTTCACAGCAACCCTTTAAAAGTAGGCATCATTTTCCTTTTGTAATAGCTGAGGAATCAGAAGCTTAGTAGAAGCAGTATGCTTCCCAAGGAGGCATGGGACATCACAGCAGTAATAAGTGGGCTGATTTCCCATGTAGAATTCTCCCAACTCGCATCATTTTCCTTTTGTAATAGCTGAGGAATCAGAAGCTTAGTAGAAGCAGTATGCTTCCCAAGGAGGCATGGGACATCACAGCACGTAATAAGTGGGCTGATTTCCCATGTAGAATTCTCCTGACTCTATAATATATATTGTAATTAAAATGTAGGTGTCTTACATACACATTCATGTAAAAAAAATGAATGTGAAAATGCCTGTGTCCATGTGTGTCTGGGTGTTTATCTGTATAAGCATGCCAACGCCAGGAAAACAAGCCAGGTTTTTAACTATCTGACACAGCAATGACCTATAGTTTCAGACTCGGTCCTTAAGAGGGTCCCCGGGGAACTGAATCCAATGAATGTTCTAAGGCCAGACACACTAATAAAATTCCCAATCTCAGACTCCAACGGCAGCAGTATCTAACATGGGCTAAATGGGGGAAAATAAGCCAAAGCAAATGGTTCTCCTAGGCACAAATTAATTTTATTTTTTTTATAGAGACACCAAGTGTGAATGGTTTCTCTCTAATATAATTCAATAATATAACTGAAAGGAAAGCAATTAAAAAGTTCTCCGTTGCGTTTTTTGTTTTTGTTTTTCATTATTTCATACTTTTATAAAGCACCAATTACGAGATTTAATATGATGATGCATATTAGCATGTTAAAATTAGGATCAAACACATTGCAAATTGTTTTTCGTATTGGGATTTCCTTAAAAGCAAAATACATTGCGTACATGGAGAAGAACTAAACAAGTGATAAAGCAATCTTTTTTTTCCCCCCTAAATGGCTACAGAGCAAGTCCTTCTGAACCACAAATAAGAGGTAATGAACTTGGTCAGGGTAAGGGAAAAATAACTTATTGAGCTAATACTATATTAAAATGGTAAGAGTATGGAATTTGTGATGTACTTTTATTTTTAAAATATTGTATTTTTCAAATTTGTCCTTTCAAACGTATTTTTTCTTTTATATGAGCAATGTGCAAATTTTGAGGGTGAACCATACCACATTTGAGACTGTAGAACATATCTGTCATAGAAAACATTGAATAGTATTTCCCCACATGCATGAAAAAATATTAAATATATAACAGATGAAAAATAAATAGGCAGGTTTCTAAGAACCAAGAATTATCATTAAGAAACATTGTTAGACGAACCAAAAATTTGACTCTCTCACTATTTATTCTTTGATCTCTGCCATAAAAACATTAAAAAATATAAATTATAAACTTTTATTTCAATAAGATGTTATAACATCCAGCTTCATATAAAGAATGCCTGTAAGTGGTGTGTGTGTGTGTGTAATTATAACATCCAGCTTCATATAAAGAATGCCTGTAAGTGGTGTGTGTGTGTGTGTATGTATGTGTGTGTGTGTGTATGTATATATATATATATGTATATATACATACACACACACGCATATGCACAATCATTACATTTGGCTGAATTCTGTTGAATGTCATATTGTTATTTGGTAATTTGATCATAAGAAAGTCTGACTTTTAAGACTGATTCATACATTTCTTAAGTCAATATGGACACATTAAAAAAAGATCATGAACTAAAAAAACCTGAATTTGTAATATCCTACATGATTGTGATAGATATCTAGGGCTATTCAGAGTACTCATATGTAATCTCTTAAGGGCATATTACGTACTGTAATTGGTACACAATATTTTAGAAATCAATTGAAGACTACAGGTTTTAACTTCCTGGCAGCATCTAGTTGACTTGTTCTAAATAAAGACATTGCCGTTCAAGCCCAGTGAGTAGAGATGGATCACTGACTTGGGAAGAGCGTTGCACAGTGAGCTCAGGATAAAGAAGAGATCCGAGGGGAGAGAATAAGTCCCCCTGGTGTCAGGACTGGGTCTGGAACGGACGAGGCCACAGCAGAGTGGGTTTTACAGTCCAATTCCGTTTCCCCCTGCCCATCAGGGCTCTGTGGCATTTGATTTCGTGAGGCTCACATCGCCTCCAATACACGCAGGACACAGATCGATAACTGTGTCCCCCTTGGTTAAAGCTGTGGGAACATTCAGAGACAGGGTGGGGGGGAGCCCATGCAGTAGCAAGGTTAAAGCTGTGGGAACATTCAGAGACAGGGTGGGGGGGGGGAGCCCATGCAGTAGCCGAGACCACAATGGGCAGATTCTATTTTTGAAAAAGTCTAAGTTTCAAGCTCTTGTGAAATGTTCTTTTGTTTCTTTTTCCTTTTTTATTTTTTTGAATGGAGAAGAAAAGCTGGCCTATTGCCATTCCTGCTTTTAAGAGTAAGTAACCGTCTGAGGGTCTGGGCTATAAAATACTTAATGGCAATAAAGACTACAGCTAGGTTCCACAGATAGATGACGTTATTAGCAGCTTGGAATGCGACCAATTGCTGAAACAAAATGGGAGGCGCAATGAAAAATAAGGAGGCAAAACTTAAATGGTGGCGCTGTTTTTCAAGGTAATATTTATACAATACACTCTTCAATGAAGACAGAGTGCATTAAAATGACAGGGCATGAGCCAAGATTGCCAGAAAGTATCTAAAACTAATGAGCATTTCCCTTAAAAGAAGGTAAATCTCATTAATCAAGAAAAAACGCACAAAATGAAAACGTAATGTTTGGAAACTAAAGAATGGCTTGCTAGGACAATTACGTGCTATTAATTGGATTTTTAAAATGACACCAGTAATAAAAAGCACAATTTCGTCAATCTTTTAGCTCCTAATGAAATATGGGTGTGTATTGTAGATTTCTGAAATGAGGATATAAAAAGCTGATATTAATGTAATTTTAAGTACGGTTCTCATGAAGCTATATCACACTCATAAAATTTAAATATTTTATTCTAATAGATGAGGCAAACTCAATGTTTTCATTGATTAGCCCAATTATTGTGGAGCAGTATTGACATATTGTGGCAGTTACAGGCTTTCAATTATTTTCACCTTTTAAACTTAAACTTACTTAGTTGTAGAACCCAATATCAGGGAGAAAAAATGTACTTAAACTAGGATACTAAATTCGGCAAAATTGTATGTTTGCACGTTTTATTTTCAATAACATTTAGATGATTCTGTCCACTATGTGCACTCTTGACATTTATGTTGAATACAGACAATTACTAACTCCTAAGTGACATTTTATAAAAAGAAATCCCCCCATCCTCATTGAAAGGCTAGCTGAGCAGAGAGCCCTACGTTTTCCTTGTTCCTGTCCCCTGACATGGAATGACCCCCAGGCTGTCCACACACACTCACCAGTGGGCCCAGAGCACACCCTCTGGCCGTGCAGGCCTGGACTCTGAAAGAATGTAAGCTCCACGGAGCAAATCCGTAAGCATGGCAGCTGAGCTCTGAGGAATTGTGAATGAGCAGTCCATCCAGATAGAGCCCATAGCGTGTGATCACACCTGGAAAGATAACAATTGGCACTGAGTATGATGAGTAGGCAACAGCAAAGAATGACTTCGAAAAAGCAAGCACTTCGTTTTTAAAAAATATTTTTTAAATTGATTTTATAGAGAGGAAGGGAGAAGGAGAGAGAGAAACGATGAGAGACAAACATTGATTGGCCGCCTCCTGCATGCCTCTCCTGGGGATGGAGCCCACAACCTGGGCATGTGCTCTGACCAGGAATCCTACCGTGATCTCCTGGTTCATGGACTGAGCCACACTGGCCGGGCAACAAGCACTTGATGTGACTCCTAATTTTGTGGAATCACAGCATCTGGTATTTCCGAGTCTGAACCCTGTCTCTTCCCAAAGGGTAAAAGAGTCTTTAAACCCTTAAATATCAAATTGCTAAGCCCACAGTCTCCCTGTTTGCTCTGCATCTACTTCCTTTTCCCTTTTGTTCCTCCGACACTTCAGTAACCAGCTCCTCTATTAAAGAAATTCTGTCTTAAAGGTCTCGCACGTTTTCTCTTTGGTCAATTAGACCTTGATCAATACTTCCTTAAAGGATGAACACTTTTTAAAGTTTCAATGAGTTAATACTTTAATAACGCTACTTATGACCCATTTGCCTTTTTTGAAGGTAACTTTGCACAATTGATGTTTCTGAAAGCAGGTCTATTTCCCTCATTTCCAGATTTTGGAAAGAGAGTCTTCGTTTTACCATCACGTGCCACAACAGTCCCACAAGAGCATGGCTACTCCCACTGGCTCTCCTTTATTCTAGGGGGACCATCCGGGGTACCGCTGAGGATGCTCACCAGAAAGCATTTGATTCAATGCCACTTCATATGAGACACACAAAAGCACAAATGAATTAAAACTAAGAAATGACAGATACCCAAGAGAAAACCAAGTACTTCATTGAAAATTTAAGAGAAAAAAGATGGATCAAATCACAGTTATAATAAGGACAAGAACTTATGATGTGCCAGGCACCCTGCTAAGCAATCACTGAATACACACACACACACACACACACACACACACACACACACACACAATCTACGTACAAATAATGTGTTGCAGAAGCTCTTAAAGAACTTGTAAGACGTCTGAAATGCAATCTACTTGACCTACTTCTCAACATTGAAACAGAAAGTACCCAAATCAATATTTCCCTTTTCGTACATAATTGGGGGACAGAGAATTTCTTTTATGCTGGGATTATGTGTATAATATCTCACTTCCCTGATATATTGAGAAATTAGATGTTTTACAGAAGTTCATTTTCATTATAACTAAATCTCAGCCCTTAAGTACAAACTTTCAAAATCTGGACCATTTGGAAGGAAATCTTTCTAGCAAGTGCTACACATCTGTCTTCTCACTCAGACGGTAATGAATGTAATTGGATCACTTCTGTGATGAGTCCAACCGCGCACATGGACGTCAAAGGCTGAAGTCTCTCATTCAGTCATGCCCTCTGGGGCGCATAGACACAGGACCCTCACCCAGCTCTTACCCTTAACATCCCTCAGCGGCTCTGCTTTGCCACTCCTTGTGTCTACTTTTTTGAGTTCTTTTCCATCCTCCCACAGTGACAGTCTTTCGAAAGTCACTTCCTGGATTTGTCTCCCTGACTCACTCTGGCAAGTCAACCCCTAGCAAGCTCTGCGGAGAAAGCAGATACCCGTGACATCTGGAACTCTGGATGAAGAAATAACAGACGGTGACTGAGACAGGGCTTAGTGTAAGATGAGCACATGACAATGAGCTGAGCATAAAGTTAAGTGAGATTTGTGACAGTTAATTCAACTGCTAAGTGTCTTTTTTTTTAGCACCTAGGATGCGCTTGAATTGAGAGGGAGATGACACTGGAGTCCCATTTCAGTGCAGGTAAGATCGGACACACGGACGCACGCACACATTCTGTAGATAACCCATATTTGACAGCATTTGTAGAAAGGGCTGAAAGAGCAATCGTAGAACAGAACTATATAATGAGTATACGCTGGGTAAGTGGTGTTCCCTTTAAATATTTTTTTTACATCCTCCTCTACCTCATCCAACATACCAACTCCATCTCGAGTCTTGTTAGCTTTACGTCCAAATTGATCTTTACCCACGTCAATATCTATGGCCATCAAATCTTTTCTGCTGTTATCTCACACCTGAGAAGAACAGTCACCTATTTTCTTGTTCCCACACAATCAGTGATCCTCAAATCAGGAAGCATGTAAATGTGTCGTGAGGATGAAACAGACACGTGATGTTGGCCTCTCGTGTTTTGTGCCTTTTGGTCGAGGTGTCATCATCCAATCACTGGATTTCAAGGTCAGGCCAAAGCAGGACACAGGGATGGTTTAGAGCTGGTGTCCACATATGCCCTCAAAAAGGGAGCCTGCGACTAGGCCAGGTCGTTCTTTTGATTTGGTCTGGCCAAGACCATTAACTACAAAATCCCAAATTAAGGACACACAGCCAAACTTTCTGGTAAATTCCTGAACAGCAAGAGACATCATTCGAAGAGCCCACTCCATTTCTTATCAATATACGCAGGCAGATTTCATTGCTTGTTACTCTTAGCAGATTTTTTGATATGAATAGAAGTATAATATGAAACATTTCCTATTCAATTCCAAAAACATGCATTTAGTAATAAGTTTCAAACATCTATTAACACAACAATTTTCAATGCCCTCAGATTCCCAAGGTGAGTAACAAAAACTAATGACTATAATCTAGTGGACTTTTAAAATTAAGCCTAAAGAGATAATTTCCTTTTCTGGCTCGAGTGCAGGACGTATATGAATAGCTTTGGGAAAAGCAAAATGCCAGGTTCTGGAAAGGCCATGTAAGTATTTCTGAAATTATAAAACACTTTATTATTAAAAACGTACTGAAACTTTGAGTTAAACATTAGCTACATGCTCTGTATGAGTTATTTCACTTAACTGTGGCAACACCAAGAAATAGAAACTGCTATTTGCCTTGTTATATAGTTGAGCACATGGAGTCTTAGAGGAGCTAAGCCATTTCTCAAGGTCACACAAACAGGAATTCAGGTGTGGAACTTGGCGATCACATCCCACTGCTGCTACTACGCCTGTCAGCCATGGCCAGTCTCCTTTTCTCTTCTAAATTATTTAACGATCACATTAAAATAAAGACCTGATCGCATGGCTGGTGTGGCTCAATGGTTGAGTGGTGACCTATGAACTAGGAGGTCATGATCCGATTCCCAGTCAGGGCCCATGCTGGCTTTTGGGGTCCATCCCCAGTAGGGGGCGTGCAGGAAGCAACCAACATATGATTCTCTCTCACATCAGTGTTCCTCTCTCTCCCTCGCCCTTCCTCTCTAAAAAAAAGAAAAAAAAAGAAAAAAAATCAATAAAAACATAATTACAAAACAAAAAAACAAACAAACATGTTCTCACCCTAAAAGCGATTGAGATGAGCCTAATGAAAAGATTCACATATATTTATCGAAAGTCAATTACCTGAAAGGTACTATGCTTGGTGCTTTGGGGACAGAAAGAATAAGACAATATCAATCCTTATGGAAATAAGTAAACTTCCTTTTCTTCTTTTTTTTGCTTTCAACCTTCTGGTTTGGCTTTTATCTGAGAAGGAAGGGGTTAACAACTGAGGGTGGCCTTTCCCGTGGCCCTAGGACTCCCGAGGATCTCACTGTTGGCTGAATGCTCCTTGGAACACTCACTCAGGTTAAGGAGGATCCACCTGAGGGCTGGATCCTGGACCAAGGGCCAGACCCACCTGTCCATGCTGCATATGAGTGATGTTTAGCTGGTATGGACGGGAGAGACACAGCTGCCCCAGAACAGGGACACTCATGGTCCTTATGCTGAACTTGACACTAGAACTAATGCACCAAAAGGAAGAAATGTCATCAATCTTTATTTGATTAATTAGAATAAAGATTTCACAACAAATAGAATGCTTTCAATGAGATAGCAGCAATAAGTCACTTCACATTTATTATTCAAATATCACAGATTGATTAAAAACGTCTGCCTTTATAACTTTTGAACATGGCTCTCCTTGTTTGCTTTTAAAATGTCTACTGTGACTAAACTAGGTGGAGCAGCATGGAAACTGTTTGTTTGCTGGTTTGCTGTGGACGCTCAGGAATGAAGGAAAGCCTTTCTCATTGATTTCCACATCCAGCCCCCAAATTCTGCATGTTAAGTGTGGATTAACTGAGACTTAGGGATCAATCAGAGTCTCGGTGGGGAACTCATGGCACCTTAAATAGACAACGGGGGATAATTAGTGAAGGGACCATTCATGAAGATATCGGAGGGGTAAAGGGAGAGCAATCCATGATAATAAAGCATCCCCAGCTAGGACCAGCTAGGACTCCTGGGAGACCAGTTGGCTGAGACCAGCAAACACCCTTCCATGTGGAGAACAGGTTCGGGAATCTGGAGAAAGAGCTGAGTTATAGGAAAGGTCCACTGGATAGGACCTATGGCCTTTGGTTGAGGAATGTGGCCCGGGAGCCCAGAGTCAGGCAGAGGAAATCAAGTTCTGAGACTGTGTCTCCCTTCATCCTCTCCTCTCTTGCTGCTGCCCCTGCCCCTGCCCCTGCCCATGGACAAACCAAGAGGAAGCCAGAGAGAGCGAGAGAAGAGGCCTAATGACGTTGTGACTAAAGGTCAGCCTAGGACACAAGGCTGAGGGGAGATGAGTGGAGAGTGGATTGAGAGGCAGAAGGAAAATATCTAAGATTTTTTTTAAAAAATGCAAATTTACAGCATGGATGGACCTGTAGAGAATTATGCTAAGCAAAATAAGCCAGTCAGAGAAAGATAAGTATCACATGATCTCACTCATGTGGTATCTAATGAACAAACTGATGCACAAAATAGATCAAGAGACACAGAAGCATGGAACAGTCTGTAGAAC